TTAGTTCAAATTAGTAGCACCAGAGCATCCGAATTAACAGTATTTCAAATGTACACGTTAGGAATTAGCATTATTCCTAATGAAAAGCAGGAGGACGGAGTTCAAATTTTGTGGCCTGTCATTCCAAAATAATGGGCTTGGTAGTGTGGATGCACGGCTTATTAATTCAACTTTGAGGACGTTATTTCAGACTAAGGTCCTAGTGTAGACCAGAGCTACAATAACGTATGTAAAGCTGCTGCAATAGTCATTCCAAATCGTTTTGCAGGAGAAAGAGAATCATGGCTATTCAAGCTTAGTCTGTGTCTAGTCCAGAGAATAAAAACATGATGATTGTCCAGCCCCAGGAGCCGCTGTAATATGAATACAAAAGGAGCCCCCTGTGACAGTGGTGGATTTACAGTTAGTGGTGCCCTGTGCTCAGCTTCATTTTGGGGGGAGGGGGAGGTCCTGAAGACCCAGTCAAGAAAAAGAACATTCACTCTTCTTGACAATCCCATGTTCCCACTTGAGAAAAATGGGGAGGTCTGGGCCCCCAGAATAGTGGGGCCTCAGATGGAAGGCGTGGAGCTTTGTGCCCAGCACAGGAGCAGAGCTGCCATGGTGAGGCTGGAGAAGAAAACAAACAGAGGAGATACCGAGATCTCCATGGCCACAGAAGACAGCTTTGGGCGCCCCAGTGGTCCTGTGCTGGCTGGCCCGGAGAAGTGGGCAGAGGCACATATGTGCTCCACTTGAAGGTGAGGGGGCCACAGCGCCATCAGCCACCTGAATGCCCCCCAAATCCTGGGTTCTTCATCACCTGGCTGCTCTCCCCCTCGCCCATGGGCAGCAGCCATTCACCAGATGGCAGCCAACAGCAGCCCAGCAGTACAGGGTCTGGAGGACTCAGGAGGAGGGGGCAGTGCAGCCACACAGCCAGCTGCAAGAGAGAAGAGGCTTTTTCCCACTTCAAAGAGCTGCTTTTCTCTGGCCAGCTGTGTGCCTGCTCTCTGCTCTGCAGAAGGCT